AAWTYTWACGTAGACCAYTMWCGTGTTGATGTTWATTCTCATTCGTACGCTRTTTAGTTWACGTTTTCTTTACCTTTTTTGACGCWAGGTATTCCATTCCTTTTGCAGCTTGGTAGGCGTACGACGTTAGATTTCCAATTGTTAAAGACCCGTTACTGTTGTTGTTCTGATTAGAATTCAATGGAACACGCCGCGCCCGTAAGAAGTCTCTAAGGTTACCGTGACGTGCGTATTCCACGACGAGGAGTATTGGCCCTGTTGAAGGTAAGTAAAAACATATCATTATGTACCGGTAATTTACGCAGCGCTCTTACGTAATGSATATACTGGTTTTCCTCTTTGGCTTTGTCAGCGCGTTACCTATTCTTGTTATCCATATTAATCCTTGTAAGTGTAGACCACTGAATCCGCATAGCGCGAATTATTTTTATGTTTGCGTTTATCAAATCTACTAAACGCAACAGTTACGCTTGTACGTAATGTAAGGACGTATTTCACGTTATTCGAATCTGAAACGCATCACGGTTATGCCGAATGTAATGCGTATTTGGCGTCATTCAATTCTATGTCGTATTTACGCTTTCACGGAATGTAAGGCGTATTTTTCGTCATTAACTACGCAACATGAACTGCTAGGCAACATTTACGCTTTTATGGAACTCAAGACGTATTTTACGTTGTGCCAATGTAACATATAATATATTCGCATAACTTTTGTAATTTATTCAAACTAGCCATTCAGTTGTATCCACTGATGAAGCCTGAAAAGGCGAAACGTATGGAATAAAGCTATCAACTTTATAAGTGCCTTTAGAAGTATTTTCCCCCAAAAGTATAGTATTAACAAGGCATGGCAAACCACTACTTTCCAATGTAACATAATGATATTGAATGGAGGATAATTTCCTTGCGGCTTACCGTTTATTGTACACGTCCCAAGCATGTTGATGATATTCTTGTGGTGTCCAATATTCTTCATTGTTTCAATCTCGGCGAGRAAATCTTGATACTCTTCATTCATTGCGTCGTCTGAAATTAGTAATAAGTCATAATATAAGTACATTTTCTATTTGTTATTAAGCTAATTTCCCATGTGTGTAAGTTGGCACTAGACCGAAGTTTGGTCGTWAACTTTCTGGGAACRCTGATGAGGTTCATCAGTCATTGTCATTTATCAAAATATATACTCTTTTGTGATTGGATAAGGAGTAAGAATSAAGTCTKCATATCTGGACATCATCATCCAACAATTTTCCATACTGCACTTTTATCTCCCTCATCGTTCAATAACTTTAACAAAGGCACATCACTGTATGATATGATGAACAATTATACACGAGAAGGCTATTATCTGAAGGCACCTCTTCCTGAACTTTTCCTCATATTATTATGGCAGGATCTTATTGATATGATTAGTCAACACTGTACTTACGTTTGAGCATCTTGACTGCTACTRTGCATTGCGATGGCATGTCCTGTAAGCCGTAAGCTGTGGCTTTCATAACGATCCCAAACGCACCTTCACCCAAACCTTCTTCTAAAACTACATGCTCTCTTGGGATTTCCCAGGCCTCGTCTGGTTCGAGCTCAAAGACATCTGTATAAAGAGAAGATACATTGGAGATCATAATAGATCTTCAGATTAACAATATGGCCGACAATACGTCTGCCATCTTGAATAGACGTTATTACCAATACGGCCGCCATCTTGAATAGCAATATAGTAGACCTTTTTACCAATACGGCTGCTTTCTTGAATAGAGATTATTATCAATATGGCCGCCATCTTAAATGGACCTTCAAATATTACCAAGGCGGCCACAATCTTAGATACATATCTTATTACCCATAGGGCCGCCATCTTGAATCAACGCCGTTATTACTAATACGGACACTATCTTAAATAGAGATTATTATCAATATGGCCGCCATCTTGAATGGACCTTCAATTATTACCAAGGAGGCCACCATCTTAGATACATTATATCTTATTACCCATACGTCTGCCATCTTGAATCGACCTTATTGCTAACAAGGGTCCGCCATCTTGAATAAACCTTATTATCGAATACGGCCGCTATCTTAAATAAGCCTTATTACCACATATGGTAGTACATGTATTCTCGATTACTGTACAATATGCCTTACCTTCTAAATCTGCTATTTCTGATATATACATCATTTGTCCAGAGTATGGCGATCGCGAACTACTGCTACTACGATTATTGAAAGGAAAACTTGAGCTTGCTGAACCCCGGCTCAAAAACGACGTCACGGTACTAGGAGTACTCCACTTACGAGGYGGCAAAATCTCGTGAAATGGCTTCGATGTGTCCTCAATGTCATTCAGAAACGGCGATCCCGATCCAGCTTGCTGCGAAGGCTCATGGGAAGATTTGAGTATTTTGCTCCGTACGGCGTATATTATAGCCAGTATTATCATTAATGCTACAATTGATCCTATCACGACTAAAGCTATGGCTGTCCCTCGTGTATTGGAAGGTTTTTGGTTAGAGGAGGAACTTTTAGGAGGTATGAGTTGTGGCGTTGTTGTCGTGGGTGTTGTTGGTACTCTTGGCGACGGTGAAGAAGCTGAAAATTAAAAGTATACTCGCTGATTATGAAAAACTATTATTAAAACTTAGATAGATACCTGTGAATCATCGCCTATGGCTTGAGAGAAAGTTTCTTTTATTACACGCTCACCGGTGGTCTCGCAATTATGCAACTTTCAAGATGGCGTAGGAAACCGTGAAGGAGGCCATTTATTGCCCCATAAGAGAATATATTCATCCGTGCGTTTGATAATTTTCTTTATAAAAAGGGGAATACAAAGCTTGATTTACGTGTCTCCTTACTCCGATGTAACTAAGGTTAGAATTTTGCAGAAGTCGAGAAGCAAGGTTGTTAGTATTAAGCAAGTTTTTGCTTATATTGAGATATATTCAAACATAAACATGATCCTTTACGCTTACTTGTAATTATTTTGGGCCTCAACACCACGCTGCTTTGGGACCTTCCATACTTTGAACAAATAACACATGTATAGACCCCGTAATCATACTTAGAAAGATTCTTTATTGTTAGATACTGAGCATGAAGATCTTGTCGATAGAGTTGCGACTTGATAGCGTATTTATAATCCTCATTTAAGACATGTTGAAATGATCCGTGGTCGATGTCCAGGTC